CAAGTGTAAGCTGGGAAAGTTGTCATTCTAACGACTCTTCTTCTGAAGGAATTTCAATTATAACCTACAGTTTTGAAAGAGATTCGGTCTTTCGGTGGTCAAGACCTTAAATTCTTCTAAGAATAAAGCCTGGATGCCGATAAGATTTGAATTTGCATTAAAGCTCAGAAAGTTTGCAACCCAATCCTCTTTGATTGTCAATGTCTATTTAGCATGAGGGGAATGAGTAATTGCCTCAACAACACCTTGCCCATTTTTTCCAAGGCCAGAGCCAGGGCAGTACCCCTGGGCCAATAGCATATTTCATGTCATGCACGAACCGAAGTCGTAACGACTACAACAATTTTTCAATTTTTCGGACAATTTGTAGTCATCAATTGTCCGAGGAGATAATTCTTCCTGTGTTACATGGATCATGGCACAATTTTTCTTATATGTTAGAAGTGGGATCTCTTGGAATTTCAATTTTCCAGAGAGTTTCTCTTTTTTCGTTTTGACCGCATCTGAACGTACATAGACCACTCCTCTGGCAATTGGGAACTTCTGGCACTGGTGCAAAGTGGAGGCAACAACAAGATTTTCATGTAGCCACGGCTTGCTAATGAGTAGATTGAAGGAAGGTTCAATGTCAAGGACATAAAGCCTCACTATTTGGACTACTTGCCCAATCATAAGAGTAAGAGGGATGATCCCTAAGGTTTCTCTTTGAGCCCCATCGTAGGCTGCAACGGAGATGTTTGAGGCCTCAAGGTCTATTTGTGATAATCCTATAGATGCCCCATTGTCAACCATCACTCTCCTGATTTCATAACTGCTCATGAAAATGGTGATACAAAGTGGTTGCGTGTGAAAATGATCAAACTCCAGAGGTATATCATCATCAGTAAATTTAATAAGGGTCAGTGCTGTTAAAAGGTTGATCATGTTGCTCAGCTCTTCGGGTCTAATCTGGGTAGGGACATGCATCTTTCCCAGTACTTCCTCAATTTGGGCTCGATGAAGGACGAGTTCTTCATTAAATCCATGATAGAAATGGATGCTGGAATTTTACTGAGATGATCTATCAAATTGTATTGTGTGATAGGCCCAACCGTGTTTGTTTCTTGTTCCTTTGTTGTTTCATTGGGCATGCTAGGATTTTGATCAACTTTGGGAAGATTTCCAAGCCTTTTCTCCAGAGTGTCAGCCAGCAATTGAGGTGGCTTCCTCTCCTTGTGAGGTGGTCAACCTCTTGAGGGTTTTTATTGGCCACGACGATGACACCTGGTCTAGATTCTCCTGGATTTTTAACTTTCTCATCTTGCGATGGAGTGTAGTCCCGTTAATTGAAATCATATTTATGCATGGATCTCAGTTGAATTTCTTTTTCTTTGCTTTTGAATATGGCATGATCCCAAGGGGAAACTGGGAGATTTCCTTGGGTATCCTTAAGGTTTTGTACTTTAGTGTCTTCCCTGAGTGACTTATCTTCAATCATCGTAATGACAACTAAGCTAGCTTCATTGGGAGGTTCAATTTCAACTTTCTTGTCGTTATCAAGGAGTAGATTGGCAAATATTTCCTTCTTCTGATTAGAGGCCTCCACCGGTTCATCAGTGGGAGTGTGGTTGATAACACCCTTATCTAGGAGTTCCCAGATGATGCGCTTTAAGTTATAACAGTTTTCAGTGCTATGGTGTGATTTTTATGGTATCCACACCATTTGGATTTATCTTTAACCTCATAATTTGGTTGAACAGGGTTTGGAAGGACAATGAGCATCGCTTGCAGGATCTTAGTTAATATCGTGGAGAGGTTCCTGCAGTGGTAGAAGGTTAACTTCTGGGAAGGGCCTCCTGTATCCAGTATTTACGTTATTATTGAAGTTGAATTTATTGGTCCTACCAGTGCCCCTGGGATGATTATTTATCTTTTGAGATTGGGGCGGAACCAGTGCCATGACAATCTGGCCTACCTGGGCAGTAGTATTGTTCTTTTTGTGATTGTTATTATAATTGCCCCTTGGTTTAGCATATGATGGTACGACCACGATCGAGTTCTAAAACTTTGCACTGGCGAAGACGACCTTTGACCTTTCATAGAAAGCAACTTGATCTATCATCTGTTGAAAAGGTTGCGAGCCGTGACTGAAGAAATTCATATACTCTGGTAGGCAATTCTCCAAGAACATGCTCATCTGAAAGGTCTTGAGAAGTGTGCAATCAATGACCTTTGATGTAGATTGCCAGAATTGATTAGCAAAGTCAGGGAACAACTAACCAACATTTTATTTGGTTGCAACCAACTCCCCGAAGGTCATTGATTGTTGCTTGGTCCCTTGATATTGTTTGACAGATCGCCGAAACAATTTGTCAAGAGTCTACTCAGGGTACTTGGAGATTACTTCTTGGAACCACGATGGAGGTGGTCCAAAGAGAGTGTATTGAAACATCGCCTTGAGACGACGCGGTTTGTCTTCTAATGCCGGAACAGTCAACAAGTAAGCTTTGACGTGATTATCAGGGTCACCCTTCCCACTGAACTTGTTTTCAAATTTCGAGAACACAAAACCCGGCGGAAGGGGTTCGACATCCCCATGCACGTTCTTGACATAAGATCGTTGAGGGAGTATATTTGGAACTCCGATCTTAATCATAGTCTCTTTAAAGGTGGCTAATTTGCCTTTCAGCAGAGTGAGCTCAACTGAATCAGGGGTCTGTTGGTTGCCCGGAGCTGATGGCATAATTTGTGTTGCAAGGGATGCAGGTAATATGTGTTGCATCAGACTAGGCATAGGTTGGGCATGCGAGATGGTTGGAGGAGCAGTTTACAAAACCTTGTGCATTCTAAAAGTCCGCATCAATATCAACGTCCTCAAGGCGCAAACCAATTGGCTGTTGGTCGTATTGGAATCACGGAAAGAAAGGATTGTAGAGAGAGAAAGATCCACTCATTGTCAAAAAAGAGAAAAGATCCATGCTCACTGCACAAAAACCAGAGTATATCGACTATAGTGATTTCTCTACAAGTCTCAAGACTTCTGCTCTGATACCATGTTGAAGTTACAACCTCAAAAAAATAGAGAGAGATAAATAGATCAACACAACAAATACGTGCTTTGACAATGATGTGCCTACATCCACGGAAGATAAATTAGTATTGTATTCGTAGATATTACTCTGGCTTATCAGAGATTTATAAAGTCACAATCCTTGATTTTTAGGAAACAAATCTTATTACAATTGTAATCTCACAAAGTAGGAAGCTCAATATGAAACTCAATATCTAGTAATCCATAAGATAGGAAATTTAATATCTTGCTACTATAATCGTCAACACTAACTCATCATTTTCTTGAGCTTAGGTGTACATCCTCTAGCATAAGAAAGTAAAAAAAAATTCTTCCTTGTTTTCTTCACTTTGTTCCTACTAAAAATCTTTATCATCTTCCTTTCGAAATTTAATTGTCGAACTTAATCCAACAAAGTTGAGAATCAGTGAAGCCATGTAAGGTCGAATATAGAGTTATAACAATTGTTGTCAATTGCAAGATTAACTCTCATGAGCCTAGCTACATAAGCAACTTAGCCAATGGGAAGCCTTTCCAACTCTGACAAAGCAAAGAAAGGAATGAGAGGCCATTTGTAAGATGGAAGGGCAATTAGAAAGAAGTGTTACGAATATCAGAAAAAATAATACTCTGATTCACTTTAAAGGCAATACTTTCGTCTTCTAAATTAAACTAAAGAAACTCTGGGAACCAGTTTTAAGAAATATTAGGAGATGTTACGACATCTGAGTTTTTTTGTGACATTTAAGTTGTTGTAACAAAGCTATGATATCCTCCATTTGCATTTAAACTATGTGAAAGAAATCTTGCTTTTCATAACTGGAACTCCCAAGAAACCTAAACTATGGCATTCTAAGTGAATATAACCAATTTAACTAGGTCTCCAAGTTTAAACGAATTCAGTTTCGAAGCCCACCCCTGGGCTACCCAAAAGGAGCATGAACTCTCCTAGAACTTAGGCCTCTGCAGTTACATGTTTTAAACTCAAGAGCTATGCTCTTGCAGATCATGTGGCCTTCGATCACTTAGTCTGATGAGCAAAGTTATTCAATATATGTGATGGCCGGCAATTCTTTACTAGGTTTGTGCCTATTCTTCCACAACATCCCTTTCGGTCATGTGCTGCATAATGAGGATACCAAATTGTTGAGGTGATTGCACCTTTTTGTAAAGGCCCTGTTGTTGTTGAACTCCCCAGAAAGAGATCTCCGAAGGCCACTCACCGTAAGCTCTAAGATTATACCAACTAGCTTGCCTGATGCCAGTTTAATATTCATGAAGAGAGGTCGAATGGACTGCAGGCAATAGGGTGTTGCGTTGCAATTGTCAGCGCTATAGTCACTCAAGCCCATTTCCCAATCACTATGAGAATTCATGCTCGATAAACCTCAATTACCAAGTCCCTACATGAATTGATGTTATAGGCATGCTGGCAAGAATTGTGAGCTACAACCCGCTTCCTTTTTAATTCCTCTACTTCTCATCAAGCTCCGTACATTGTTAGCATTACATTGTTCCCCATTACTAGCATATAAGTTGCACATTAATGCATAACATCCACTATGCCTGCAGTTCAAGTCCTCTAATTGTTTCTCCACAAGCTTGGCTAGTTCTAAGTTGTTATGATTTCTACAAGCACCTAGTAAAGCCCCCAGTATAACAACATTTGGTGTCATAGGCATGTCTAGTATGAATTCATGGGCCTCATCCAAAAGCCCAGCTCTGCCCAAGAGATCAACCATACAACCGTAATGCTCAATCTTAGGTTTAACGTTATACGCTCTAGTCATAAGCCCAAAAAATTGCCGGCCCTCCTTGACCAAGCCAGCATGAGCGCAGGCAGGCAAGAGGCCGACAAAAGTAATCTTATTTGGTTCAATCCCACTCTCTTGCAAGCTTGAGAAGAGAACAAGTGCATCCTTGCCATGAGCATTGATTGCAAGCCCTAGGATCATGGCACTCCAAGCATGAACATCTCTCTCACCATTCTATCAAAGATCTTGCGTGCATTGCGTACACAGCCACATTTGGAATACATGTCAATAACTGAAGTCTCTAAGATCACATCAGCCTTAAATTTGCTTCTTTTCTCTATGTAGCCATGGATCTCCTTGCCTAGATCCAGAGCAACCAGATGTGCACACGCACAAAGAGCGCTAACAATTACAACCCTATCCAGCTCCAAGTTTTCGACCATCATCTCCTCAAAGAGGGTCAAAGCCTCTTTAAAACAACAATTCTTCACATACCCATTTATCATGACACCCCAAGAAACCAAGTCTCTTTGACCCATTTCATCAAACAACTGTTTTGCATCAACAATGAGACCAGTTTTGAAACACCCATCTATTAAAGCATTCCAAGAAACAACATTTCTTTGGGGCATTTGATCAAAAACGTTCCTTGCTTTCTTCATACACCCAATTTTAGCATACCCACTAATCATAGCATTCCAACAAGCGAAATCCCTTTCAATAATCTCATCAAAGACCACGCTTGCGAGGTCCATTCTCCCAAAGCTCGAATACAAACGAATCAAAACACATTGCACAAAAGAATTCAAATGAAACCCAAGTTTCAGTATTTGGCAATGCATTTGCTCCCCAACTCAAGAGAACGTAATTTAACGCATTCTTGGATTAGGGATGGGAAAGTATGGCTGTTGGGCTTGAATGTCTCCCTTTCTAGAACTCTCTTGTAGAATGCAATGGAATTCCTTGGGTTATTAGAATGGGCATAGCCTTTAATCGTGGTATTTACAGTGAATGAGTCCGGCTTGCAGGGCAATCTGTGGTATTTGCTCCTGAATGTTTCTCTGTCTTTAAATCCTATGCCCACTCGAGTACATTGCCTTATTTTGGATGAAAGATTGTAGCCTTTCATTATCAGGTGTTTTTTATATCTATTTTGCAGTACTTTCTTACACTATTAAGCTACACTCATGGGGTGAGCACATGTCTAATTAAAAAAAAATAGGGCTTCCTGCGAGAGGATTGAGAGGAGGGTATTTATTACGGGAGACCTTATAGTGAGAGGGTTTAACCCTTAAGTTATGTTTTATTTTATGGATGTAAGCTTCCATAAGATCTAGGGATTATGAAAATAAAGTAAAACCTCTCCTCAAATCGTGGAAAAAGCAAATTCGGCATCGGAAATCTCTATAATAGCTGTAAAATCTTTTCTAACCTTGACTACAAAATTTGATGCTAAAAAAATAGCATAGATGCTGTAGATTTGTATACACTTATTTTTAGGGTGAAATGAACGGTCTAGATAATGTGTTACAATATACGTTGTTTTTAGGGCTTGAAATCTTTTTTTTTTTTAACAACTATAATAGTCAAGTTCAAGATGATAGATTTGACGGTTTTCTGACCTGAGTTTTTAGGTGAGGCTTTACTTATATTAATTGGGTTGCAGCCCTATCAAAATATTTTCCTTTATTGTTAGATAATTTGTTACAATTTATTCTTTTAAATTGTAGTGAACAATTTACCTTAGGAAAACAGTTTACATAAGCTTGAGGCCCTAAACAAAAAAATTAAGATGCACCTCAAAATTTTACTAGAAGAAGTTGTTTTGATATCAAGAAACCCTCAAATTGATTATCTTGACCTTGAAATATACAGAAGTGGAAAAAAAAAAAAGATTTCAAGTCTGAGTAATAATGCATCATGTAATGCATTATCTATGCCATCAATTTTCAATATTGTCCAGTGTTTATAAATCTGTTTGATCTGTACTATTTTTTAAGCTTTAAACTTTATAATTAGATATGAAAATAAATTTTCAGGCCATCACAAAAATTGTCATGTGACACTATTTAGAGGTATGGCTTACTTTGATTGCTTAGGGCCTCAACCTTATAGAAACCATCCCCTTTACCTTTGCATAGATCATTTCTCTCCCTTTCTTTTTCGTTTGAGCTACTTACTGATTGTCTCTCTCAATCTTCTCAGCTGGCCAGCCCGCTTCTTTCTCTCTATTATTTCATTTATGCAATCCTTACTAAAACCCACTGTGACCGAGACGAGGACTTTACCAGAGCTGGTGTATCCGGAAATGTTTGCAGCAGTTCAATTTTATTGAGATTGACTGCATTTGAACAAGGCAAGGAGATCCATTGCTATGTTATCATATCATAGTTGGAATTCAATACCTTGTGTGAATAACTCCCTTGTTGATATGTATAGAACATTTGGATTCATAGGTGATGCCAAGGTAACATTCCAATAGATGAGTGAAAAGGACTCCTTGATTTTGAAATGCTATCAGTTCTGGTTATGCTTGTGCTTTTGTGTGTCATTGCCACAAGACTTTTGAGCTTCTCTCTCGGTTGGAAATGGAAAAAAAAAAGAAAAAATAAATGCAATTGAGATCATTGACCTCAAGTTTAGTTAATAATGGGTTTGCCTTGAAAGGGAATGGAGATCAGGCCTAGGAAATACAAATGGCTCACATTAAGCCAATTCAGTTGTCTGGCATACTTGACTTGCCTTGGATCATGGCAAAGAGACCCACAATCATATAGTTAAAGGCCTTGCCCACTCAAGCCATCTTAGGGGTTATGTTCTAACTTTACACAAAGTGTGAGAGCCTAGATTGATGTGGAATTCTTTTCACTACAGATAGAAGACAACATGCAAAAAAAAATAGAGATATTTGATTGAGAGAGAGATATGCATGAGCGAGACCGACGACGACGACGTTTGGAGTATCCTTATGGTGACCTTCAGCATCCAGGAATGAGCTTCTGGCGATCCCCATCTATGTTCTGTTACCTCTGTTGGGTTTGTGTCTCTTTTTTTTTTGGTGACGCCTTTCTCGCCTCCGATTTGCTCTGGCATTAGATTTTGCGGTGTGCTTGTCTCTATTCTTTGCTTCGTTCTGATCCTCTTTTTCCCTTTTTCATCTTTAACTGAACTACTTCAAATCTATTATTTCTTCTTTGTTTTGTTGATGCTTCCTTCGCTCTCTTCCTCTCGCTCTCCCTTCTTTTTTATTTTTACTTTTTGTTTCAACATCTTCTGTCGTAGCTTTTCATTTTACCTTTTGTTTTACGCTTGTTCCTTTTCATCATTTTATCTTTTTTTTCTTGCTCTATTATTTTCTCTTATTTTAGCTTTCCTTAACTAGATACCCCTTTCATCCTCTCTCTCTCTTCTTAACCTCTTCTTGTTCCTTAAGATTTTAGATTGATTTTCTTTCTTTCCTTCCCGTGCTCAATTTTTATCCTCCTGTTTTTCTTCTTACCTTTTTTTTTTTTTTTTCTACCTTTCTATTTCTATTATTGTATATAATATAAGTTTTTATATTCATATTAATTAATGAACACATGGAGTCTCTTCAAAAAAATCTGAGACTGCTTCACATGGTATCAAGGTGAGATTCATTTTTATCGTGTCCCTTCCTATAAGAAACCTAAGGCTTCTTCACATGGTATCAGAGCCAAATTCATCTTCGCCTTGTCCATTCTTATACGATCGAATCGATCTTGTCTGTTCCTGTGTACCTATGGCCTGCAAATCAATTTTGAAAATTGCCGATTCAACTACCAATTCTACTTTGCATCTCAGAATCGATCTCCATATTTACTTGTCTTCATCTCTTATGTTACTTTTATCACAATCTCTGGCACATTGGAGAATGCAAAGAATGTGATGGTGGGACTTGGAGGCGTTGATGCTACCTTTGTGCATGCTAGCCCCCAAATGTTCCTGGAGAAGGTCTCCATTTGGGCTAGAGGTCTTTCCTACGCCTGGTGACTCCTGAGGAGCCTGCAGCGAGCGGGTCAAAAGGGAGCTCAACAGCCAGCTCCTCGGCTTTTTTTTTGAATGTTCGACCTTCTTCTTATTCTCCTTACAGACTCTTTTCAAGCTACCTCCTTAATAACTTTCACTGAGCCATCAAACTTGACCATCATGTCCTTTACCATCTCCTCAGCCCTGCTTTGAGATGTTATAGAGACGCGGACGCTAAGAATTAGTAAGCTCATGGGGAGAAGCCAAGTCAAAGAGCCCCGAAGGGACGAGGAAGGCGTGAGCTTTATCTCAGCTATGGTTCCGAACAAATTGAAGGAGTTCAGTTTATGAGGGCTGAGAGAGATATTTCGAAGCTTAGAAGGTACTACCAAGCAAGTGAAAAGGTACTCTCACCAATTTCTTTTTTCTTCCTTGTCCAACACCCAATTTTTGGTGTGAGGAAAGAGTACCTGAGAATAGGATGAATCAGATGATTCTGTCTCTAGAATCAGAGGGGAAGAGGGGCATTATGCAATGAATAAAGTGATGAGTACAGGCTCTGGCTTCGTTGGAATCGCATTCAGAAAAGTTCATTTTCACAGCATTATTTCCCTTTATCCTGGCAATCATATCCCATGATGTCCAGGCATCTCCTCCTTTGTTTCTATGTTCTAAAGCCTGCGGCTCAGTCGCTCTTTTTCCACAGTGATATTCCATTTACAACCTGTTACGCTTCCCGTTTCCTTAGAAACCCACGAGCTGCTCCTAGGAGCTCTGAACTTCCCCATCTTCTCCGGCTCTCTCCCGGTGCTTCTCGGATGTAACTTTCTCAATCCAGGATCAACTTAAAGAAAAAACCTTTTCTACGTGCCAGAAAAGTAATTTCAGGAAATTTAACTGTGCATAATATTTTATAGCTGTCCCAAAAAAACATAGCTTCTTAAAATTGAGTAGTGCCCAATTTTGGGGCGTCAGATCATATGGGCTTGTTAAACAAGATTTAAAATTTCATATGAAAATAATACATTTGCAAAAGAAGATTTAAAATTTCATAGGAAAAAAATACTCCTAAATACTTCTTTTGCCCTAGAGAGTCGTATCTCTGGTAGGAGTTTGCTATAGCCGCTTCTTACAAAAGACCTTTTCTAAGTTGTTGCTTTTTTTTCCCCCTTTTTTATTGAAAATTATGAGCATGTACTTAATGTGCTCTACAGCTCAATTGGGTGTTTATCCCAAAATTGAAATAAAAAAAATCCTCTCGAGTAGGTTGTAGGCAGTTTAAATGAAGGGGTAAAAATAAATAGGGTTGTATATTAAAAGATAAGGCCATATACTTTTGGTGTAATGAGGTTACAATTACTTATAACCATTTGATGTAGATATGACATCTTTGGTATGTTACAATGTTTAAAAAAGTTTCTTTTAAACTTCGAGCCTGATCAATAAAACAAATGTAGCCGTCCAATTTCACATTCAAAGGTCAAGATTAATTGTGACTTCTTGTATTGTCAAATCATCAATAAACGTTCATAACAAAAAAAAAAATTTATTGTGAGCTTTGTGTACCAAACATGAATTGTTTAATGGGTGTGGTTCGTATAAGGTTCAGGCCCTAACCAATCAAAGTAAGATGCACTTTGAATTAGCGTCGAAAGATATTATTGTAATAATGTAAATCTTTGTTATGGCTTGAAAAATTATTTTTTTCTATTTATAAAATTTGAACCTTAAATAATAGTCGTCATCGAGGAGATCTATAAACATTTGA